CAGTATTATTAAAGCAACCACAGAATAATTTGTCTAATATGGTAATTATTTCAAGGAGGTACATTTTGAACCATTATTTGGCCTTAAAATTGTAAAAAGTAATAATATAATCAAATATATAGAAATAAGAAGATGTTGTATAATTGCCCGTCTCCGCATCAAACCTTCAAAAAATATGTACATTGTCTTGATCAATGGACAGTTGATAAGTTCCGGACACTTAAGAGCGAAAACTTAGTCATGTTAGTTGTGATGTTACTTAACATGTTAACATGGATTTCTTAAGTCAGAAGACTGATTGTTGTTGTTCTCGTGTATGGTTGCTGTCCGTCATGTTGGATTTATCTTTTAGCAAAGAGCATTTATTAAGTTAGTTTCTTCGTTTGACATTTTGACATTTTTTTTCATATTGGAATGTTCTACAACCAACTGTCGGTATTAAATTTGCTGAATGTTGGAGATATATCTATTATTGAGTAAATCAAAGTTTTAACACCATGAGAACAGTGCAAACATTGTGTTATCTATCTTGTATTTTTGGTGTATATTTATCTGTCTCCAAATAAAAGTTTTCATTTCATTCTACTGTGCTCTTTTTTCCCATTACATATATTTCCGAGATCAGCCGAATGACAAGTAAATGTCGTTTAATAATGATACGAACGGACATGCGAATATGAGAAGGAGTGGAAATTTCATTAGATAAGTTGGCTGTTCAGTTTTTTTCTGACGTTATGCTAACAAGTGGAAGTCTTACTTACAAATTTATCTCACGATTTCCTGTAGAAAGAGTGAAAATTTAACCCCTACATATATGTTACTATACCCTTTTCAATTGCTTGAATATAATGTTGATTGTAAAGCCTTTGTGTTATCTCTAGAATGTAATTTTACCTTAATCATTTTAATGACTGAAATAGTTTGAACTTTGTGGAACATAGAGCAAACTCAGAGTATTCAAACTATAAAAACAATATACTTACATTGTGTTATTTATTATTTTTTGTGATATACTTCGATGTCTCTCAATTTAAGTCTTTCATCCTACTGTGCTGTTTTTCTCTTCATTGACATATATTTTCCGGAATCCGCCGATAGACGACGAATAAATTTCCGACAATTATACGAACAATTATGCAATAAGCGGCAGAAGTTGATACATACATGTATTTGCCGGCTAAGCACCATTTTGGAAAATATTGAATTTTCGTAAAACTAATGCTTACATCTTTGTACTTTTAACTTTATTAAATAGAAATTATATACTCAAAATGTATGATAATGTTTATTTTTGTGTCGCGTGTTTGTTTTTGTCTCTTGGTGATATTAAAAAAAGGTTGATAAAAACAAAATTTTGTATTAAAACGAATGTGTGCTAGCATGCGCTGAAATAAATCTTAATAAACTTATGGAGAGTTGTCTCATTGACACTCATACCACATCTTAATTGATTCTTATACCTATTAACTAGCTGAGAGAAAACCTGTTCGTCCTCTACTATAATACCTGGAAAATATTTCAAATAAATCCGCCGTAAGCATAAGAGGAAGATACAACCATTGTAGACGTTCGTAAAGTACTATATACTGAGACATATAGTTCATTTCCATAATATTACTAACACACCCGTTTGTCAATAAATTTACAACAGCCAATTCAAAGCTCATACGAGAAAATCTCCTTTGGTTTGTAAAAAGAAGTGATTAATGAAGCTATTTACTACCGGCTTTTACAAGTAGAACGTATTCATTACCATCTTTGACACAGGGTATTTTTAAATCTAAACCTCAAATGATCCCTTTGAAATTCAAACTAAAATCTGATGACGGTTGTGCTTCATTTAAGCTTGTTGTTGTAATTGTACCGGTATTGTGACATTAATAATGAGATAGAACACCATAGTATAATGTTAGTAATGTATGATCCTGAGGATAACAAATGAAATGATCGTCTTCCGCGAAATCTTTCAATTCAATAAGTTTACTTCCTGGTACATGTAGATAATATTGAACTTTGACCTTGAACCGTGAATAATTGGAAATATTACTGTAAACATTCAATATAAATAGGCCAATCATCTAAATCATAACAAAGTGATGACAATAAAAAGTTTAAATAAAAATAAATAATATTATTACGCAAAATAAATATTCAATATATTACCTTGTATGTAAGGATGCAAAGAAGATTCGTGTAATTGATAATTTGAATCACATTTGAACAATAAATCTTTGTTCTGAATAAATTGTAGGGTTTCGCAGTCCAAAACTAGGACTTTCCAAAGTCAATGTACTATGTTATTAGGGGAAAGTGGGCGACACAGGTTTCCAATGAATGTCACTAGGGTGTTTTAAAAACAAATTCTTCACTTGGCAGTATGAAATATAGTTAAAAAACAAATACATACAACTCGTTTAAAAAGTGTTCATAACGTCCATGACGTTAAAATACTAAATCCCGTGGATGTGTTTGAGTTGATTTTTGTCTCTGATGCATGTTTTTTTATTATTAATTGTTTTTAGTTTTAAGATAGCATTCAGTAACTGCGAGTACTCTCAAATCGTACTTTCGTGTTAATTTGACCTGTTGATACATTGGCACTGATACCACATCTTCTTATATCTATATAAAAAAGAAGATGGGGTATTATTGCCAATGAGAAAACTCTTCACAAAAGGCCAAATGACACAGTAATTAACAACTATAGGTCACCGTACGGCCTTCAACAATGGGAAAAACCCATACCTCATAGTCAGCTATAAAAGGCCCCGAAATGACACATACAACACTAGAAATTAACGGCCTTATTTAGGTACAAAAAAATACGAAAAACAAATATGCAACATAGCAGCAAACATCAACCACTAAATTACAGGCTCCTCACTTGGCACATACAGATCTGAGAGTACTCGCAGTTACTGACAGCTATAGTTCAAAGCCAATAACAACTAATAAAAAATCATGCTTATTAGACTATTTTGACATGCTGACATTGAAATCTTTGGACGTCTATTGCACGAAATCGGTGTTGAACTGCTCTCAATAAAACCCACATTGTTTTTGATTTATGTATTGTACTAGAATTAATTTTATTATTCAGTACAATTTGTTTAAAAATTTTTCTAATTTTTTTATTTCTACAAATATTTCACTAGTTAGGCGGTACCTGTAGAAAACTACAAATTTGAGAATTTATGATACACAGAAGAATTGGATATGTATCTAAAATTAAGAAATAGAGCATATCTTTATATTTTCTATTTACATTTAAACATTTCACTTGATTACGTTTTTATTTTTGTAATACAACATTTTTAATATGCGTATAATATCTCAGAAATTGTATTAATTTTAAATGGCGAATCGGGTGTTAGGATTATGTACAGAGTGTAATAGCGCGAATGATGAGGAGTGTTGCTTGGTGAAGCAGAAAACCCAACTTTCTGTAAGTTAAATATCCGTAATCATAACGAAATAGTACAAGGTCAAGCATGGGTACAGGGTTTTTCATCTTCACATTTTTTTATTTTCCATCATATTTCTGTTGCAAATAGTTGGCTTCTTCTCCCCAAATTGGGATATACAGTGTGTGGATGGTACTGATCTTAACATTACTACTACCGAAAAACGAGACATGTTTTACCAGGGATTGTTTTATGGATGCGACGACAGTGGAAACTGTATAATAACAAACCGTAAGCTAAAATAACAAGCAGTATGCTGAAATATGATTGATGAAGTTACAAGAAGTTGATATCATCTAGATTAAGGTATAATATTTAGTTTTATATACATTTAAATTTACGGAGGCCCGTTGATCTGATACAGATAAATATGTATTAAAAGACAATCGCTATATGTAGATATAAGATGTGATATGAGTGCCAATGAGACAACTCTCCATGCAATTCAAATTAGTAAAAAAGTAAAGAATTCAGGTAAAAGTACGGCATTCAACACGGAGCCTAAGCTCACACCTAACAGCACGCTATCACCGACCCAAAAATGACAGATGTAAAACCATTCATACGTAAATCTAGATGTAAAGTCGAGTGCTGTAGAATTAAAGTAAAACGATGGACTTTTATATTTAGCAATAGATCTATAGCGCTGGACAATATACGTATCTCCATCGCATATATATATATATACTTTACAACAACAGGGCTCAACATCACATATCATGTGAATGTACAAAATTTGCAGATGTCGTAAACAGGGAAGGGCTCCATTCACTAAAAAAAGAAACTACAAATCTCGAGTTATGAGAAAAAACTACTGAAATAAAAAAACTGCACAAATGTCACGGTCAACATAACCAATTGACCGATACGCGGTATCGTAACTCACTTGCAACATATTTAGGTTTAGAATTAAAGATCCAGAAATCTAAGTTGATACTTAAAAAGGTGTAGAAAATAAACTAAATGTATATTTGCCATTGTCCATTAAGTGCAGCAACTGTACACCTTTTTCAACACCATGACCGCCCACTTATGTCTGGCTGTAATAAAATGCTTACATGTCTACTTTCATGAATTGTTACCATTTTCCTACGTTTTTTATCTTCAAGAAAAATATTATGGGCCATCACTGAAACCCTATGGAAAAGGAATTACAAAATGCGTTCTTTTAACATTCCTGCTTTAAATTTACAAATTACACCCGTCTTATAGAATGTAACTCTGATGTGTAATTAAACGTATCCCGTTGCTTAGTTTTGTTCAAAGGTTTGAAAATTTGAAAATTTGAAATAAGACAGAAATAACTATAAAGTGATATTTACAATTATAATAACAATTTTTATGTCAAACCTGAAACTGATATATTTAGTCACAGTTTGTGTCGTTACCCATAGAAGTCTTTGTTTGTATGTCCGTTTTTGAAGGACTTGTTTGTGGGGGGTTGATGTGATATATGTAGTTCGCGGTATTTAAGTCTATTTATAATTTCCTTTTTATGCATAATTGTTCACCCAAAATTGAAGAGAAATAAGGTTATGCAGCATCGATTAATTTGAAAGTAAGTATTTAATAATGATCATGAACCTGTCTATTTTCAGTAATTGACAGTAAAGTTTTTGGATTATCACTAGGCATAATTCTTGGGAACATTATTGTATAGGTTTTATCCATTCTTGTCCTGGCTCATGTATACAAGTAATAAGCAAAATTGATGAAGACAGGAGCAATGCTTATGTTTGCAACAACAGGTAAACTTAGGTAGAAGCCACCGAATGTTATGTGACTTTTTAAATATCACCCCTGTAGCAATCCGAGACACCAAATGAATATAATTCGTAGGAAAAGAGCAAAACTCCAAAAAAGCACGAGTACTGTTGTTTGACTCATTAGTATTAATGAAAACAGCATAGAACAACCAAAATATTTTAGTTGAGATGTGAATATTGTAAACCGTACGATTATTAATAATAAAGTAAGCTTCTGATATTGAAACGTTGATAGTAATTTTCATATATCTATTGATGAAGTTTTGTCATTTTCTAAAATTATACGATTTTAAAAAAGCTATTTATATCATATTAGGTGCTTTTTAAAACAAAGGAATCTTAGATATATAAGTATTACATTTTACCTAAAGCAGAAATCCACTTGAATAATTTATCTTTTTTTGGTATTTCATTTCATCTGTTGGAACGGTCATTTAAAAAGGTTTACATCCGTTTTACTTACCATGTCAACACTTAAAGTGAAGGCATATTCAGGTTGGTTATTATAATGTGAAAGGCTTATTTCTCAATCTTACTCAAATGTGCAAATATTTCTACATTGGTTAGACAATAATGTTTTATTATTGCATATTCAATGTGTGCAATGAATATACAACTGCAGATTTGTTTTGTTTCATTCCTTCGTAAGAATAATATAAACAACAAAGAAACAATTGAAATTTGAAATTTGGCTGATTATTTGTCATGGCATTTATTCAACAATATTCAACAATATAAACCAACAAACAACCAACATCAACAAACTGGCCAACAAGTTAAAACTTGATGACAATTGGTCACTGAAGGGAAACCAACAGTAAATGCATAATTTCTAGCTGCTGGGCAGATCCATTACAGCTTAATGAACGATATTTGAATAAATCACTGCCAGTTGAATCATGTTGATGATGACATCCAACGCACTTTCCATATTGAACGGAATGCCATGACGATAGATATTCTCTTTTTAATTATTCCTGCAAATTCCTTGAATATTCAGATTTCATTGGATCTGCCGATGAATATTGAAACGTCTGACAATTTTGATGATACATGACAATCTAATTGGAACATTCAATACATTTGGATCTGTTCACCATGTAATCTGAAAAATAAACTAAAAACAGCAGCAATTTTGTTTGTTAAAGGGAGGGAGGGTGGGTTGTGCAATCTTGTTGAAAAATACTCGTGGAATGAAAATTTAGCGGGAACACGTGTTTATATATGACCAAAGTCCACAAGGCGCTTCAAAGCATATTCTTTCGTATGTTTAAATATATGGTTGTAAGTATTTAAATGGCAAAACGTAAATAATGGACTGACGTACATTTGAAACACAATAAACAAATAAATGTATTGTTAATGCAATAAATCAATTTAATTATTAGATCATTAAATTTTATTATTATTTAAAAACCTCGGCTAGTCCTCGGTCTTTGAACATTGCTTAAGGTAGATCATAGATATATATTTCTTGCGATAGAATTTTCTTATACTTTTCCAAAATGTATATTTAACTATGCTGTTTTCAAAAATATAATAAAAAGTAAGGGTCACCGTGCTATTTTTCAAGCTATATGAGTCGTTGAAAATTGCCTAAATTTGGTTATATTGTTCATGAAAAAACACATTTGAGTGAATAAAAGAAATCTGTGAGATAGAATTTTGAAATAAATTGTGGGAAGATAGGTTTTATAATATGTTTTACGAAAATAAAAATAAAATGGTGTCATCGAACCTGTTTTCTTGCTACAAAAAAAATTAAAAATTTCCCATCAGTCCAGTATAATTTTTTTACTTAAAGAGTTATCTCACCTTAAATGGCTTAATTAAAATAATTGGTTCTACAAACACAAAATTTGATATTTGTTTGAATATTTTGAAAAATACAATAAATCGCCAAGTTTTCTTTATATAAATAAACAGTCTAACAAAAATTGCAAATATGTCTCCTAATTTGCAAATTTGGGCAAATAACTAGACCGATTGTGTACTGCGATTGTACAATCCAAGATAGCGGAATACCATGAATCTACCTTAAACATGACCAAGTATTAACTAACCGATACATGATTGACGAACAATATCATGACGTTACATAGTAAGGGTTTGATACAGCATTTACAACTGTACGGTAACTGATATCAACATCATCATGGAAAATTGATACAGAACGATTGCCATTGATTGTATTACGCATACAATTTACTTTTATTTACTGCTAAGTATATAATAACCTTCTTTAATTTCTGATAACAGCGGTTAACAAATCTAAAAATCACATTTAGAGGACATACAAGAATACATATTATAGAAATGATAAATGTGGGTAAAAGATGTACATATATGATGCAATAAAAATTAATTTAGAAACTCTTAGAGACTAGATAATGTGTATGATATGACTTTCGAACAGCGGTATACTACTGTTGCCTTTATTATACAACACGAAAGAGTGTCCTTAAAGTGACCATATTAATGAGAGGAGTACACGGGATAAAATATATATAGGTGAAGCTATTTGTAATTTCGACTTATAACATAGTTTTTGTTTCATGAACTTCTGCTTCGGAATCCTAACATTTCGTCAAATATAGTTCAAATATATTCAATAAAGCATACACATATTTTCCTGAAGAAATTCGTAACGGTTATCTAAAACAAAAAATTCCATCATATAAAATTGAACTTGTTTCTATCGGTTGGGGTCAATTATAAAAGTGAATACGAAAAGCAGTGCGTTGTTTATTTTATAAAATATAAAGGAAAAGTTTCCTTTCAGATTCCTCAAGCCGCATATCATGATTTCACTACGTAATCATGGTAATACTATACCTTTCATACAGATGTTTAATTATTCATGTATTACACACATACGTATCTAGACACTTTTTTCTTTTCTTTTACGATTTCTGTTTTATTATTGTAGAGATAATGAATATTGCGTCGACACTATTCTTTTGGCGATTAACTAACACTATTGGTTGGAGTTGCTGGGTGTTTTCCTAGTCCGCTGCTATTATTATAACCGTCATTGCATTAACATGTATTTGTTGCTTTATATCAATCTTTGGAGAGGAGAAAAGTAGCCGCAATCGTTATTTTATCTACTATTATGTTGTAGATTAAGATTGAATCATGCATTGTGAATAAAATGAGTTCATAATTAATCTATGTATTTCTTTAACTAAACAATGAAAAACTTCTAAAAGTTGTAATACCACCAAATCCGATTGCATATGAAAATAGGTGGAACAAAATATTCTCTTGTATTTGACAGATATAGGTATTTAATTAATCTTACATTTCATTGCAGTAAAACATTAATGGGTCATTAACATATATCTTGGGTATTTCAAAGCACCATTATTTTTTTTATTTGAGGTTTCTATAGAATATTTTGGAATCGTGAGGTTATGATTATGGTTACTAAAGCTTGTACACAGGTAAAAAAGAGGTGACAATTTGATTGGTTAACTTCTAGTGATTTTCTTATAGGCAATGAAATGTAATGTGAAAGTTTTTCAATAGTACTGGACTTATGGTGGTATTATACCTTATATGGTATAAGCTGTCAAATTCGTGTTCATCGATTTGACTCAAATTCTCATATTAAACTTATAAAATATTAAAACGTATATCCAAATTACAATAAATCTAAAATAAACAGTTAACAATGCATGTGCTCGATAAAATATATCAGCATGCCGTGTGAATTGTAGCCTAGACCTAATTAATTATAGAGATGACCTTTGAAGACTGCCGACGTTTAAATAACCCAATATAAACATTAACACAAATATAAATAGGTAGCGACCTCGTGTGATGGGATTTGTCTTAATCTGTTGGTTTCATGTGTTAGGTTAAAAATGAGTTAACAATCGTGTTTTTTTTTTCTGGATAAGAATGATTTTTTGTGGATCGAATCAGTCATTGAAATTGTTCACCTTCATTTTACTTTCAATATTGACATTCGTTTCCTTTGAAAGGCTGAACACGACTAATACATGTGAAACCAAACTCTAGCTAACGGGTTAAATTAAAGGTCACATGAATACGGATTCAAGAAGGTCAAAATATTCACTTGCAAATGAATATTTCATCAGAGCTGTTTCTTAGCTTAAATTGACAAAATCTGACCAAATTAGCTTCTAAAATCAAAATATTATTTTACTATTTCAAGTGCAAATCTTGTGATGTCACTCTATTGACAGAAACATGTTGGTATTGACTAATTAGACATACTTTGGACATTTACGCATGGAGTTTAGTTATAATACAAAGTATGTTTAAGCCAAGGCATTGCACAAAAAAAATGTTACACAAATTGACATCGTTCTTGCAAATACATAGTTATGTGGGTCAAGCATATTTTAGATCTCAAAATAAGGTAATTGTGGTACTGTGGATTTGATAATATTCGTGGAATATCAATTTTCGTGCATTTGCGTGTAAAGGTGAACCACGAATTCAAATGTGCAACAAATTACAAATGTTCTATAGGCTTTGGCAAAACCACGAAATCAAATATCCACAAAAATGCAATGTTTACTGAATCCACGAACATTGATACACTTGAAAATAGATGAATCCACAGTATTATTTACAGTCATGCTCTTATTGCCATTATATTTTCTTAAATATTTTGAATCCAGCGGCTGGCATATATAGCTTATCATACCTTCTCCTTAGTTATTTACAACCTCAAGAAGCGCTTTCCGGAAATGTAATTCAAGTTTGGCCGTGTTGATTATCGAAATTCACACAAACTTCTTAAAAAGATTAGAAACTCAATAATCTTAAAAAGACAAGAAGGACACAAAACATTTTAAATCCTTTAATCCCTCAGTCAGAATCTTAACAATGACGTTGATGGCTTGTCTAGATCTTTTCGTGTTCAATATTGTTGTTACCATACCATGCATGTTGTTATCCCATTTCCGCGGACCAAACCCTTTGGCTTTGAGCGAAGATTAATTCTATGATGAACATTGATTGTATCATACAATATGAATAACACTTTATTTTTAACCTCTTATTGCTAAGCCCATTAATATCTATACATATAAAACGCAAGGGATTTTTTTTACTAAAGATTGAATCACACGTGAATTGAAAATCAATACAATATGACAGTTACATTGTCTATGTCAAAATAAAAGAAACGCATTTCAATGAACAATTTGTCTGTATTGAAAATTGTTTGTTTTTGTTTTAAAAAACTCAATCGCATTGAATGGGTAAAAATAAACAAATCGCAAGCATAAATACTGGGTAAAATCATAAACACAAATCGGCGTTTTCCCTCATTTTCTACCCTACCAGGATTTACTATTACACTGCGCGCAACGACACAGGTCAAAATTTTCATGAGCCATAGGAGGTATGAAACATACGTGGTTTAAATGTATTACCGCCAAGAGAAGGAGAAAATTCAGTAACATTTATATGCAAAGTCCTTTTCAGAAGAGGAACAAAAAAACAATAAAAAGAGTATGCCTCCTAAAAAACCGAATAAAAATACATATCGCAATTTTTTTAACAAAGAAAATACCATAAATATACCAAAAGTGTATATTGACCTCCCCCCAACCAACCAAAAAAAATATATTCAAAAACATTACTTCTTTCTTTTGTTTTACAACCACCCACAATTACGAAATTGAAAAAAATGGACCCATAAATGTAATGGGTCTAGATCTCTTGAACTTTTCTACATATTCCCCGTTTCCCTCTATGTAATACCGATTGTCGACTTGTGTTGAGTACACACACCCGAGTCTTTAAGCTTATCGTTTTAGTTATAGTTTTTCCGTCTTGTAATTGCTTTTCCTTCCAAAAATGTTTACTATTTAAGAAACAGTTTTAGAATGAAGAATATATGTAGTGCAAAATAGAAAATCGATTTATGACTATTGCACAGCGGTATACTGCTGTTGCCTTTATTTACCAGGTTAAGTTATTCATTTTCATGCCCCTTTCCCCCCGAAAATGAAATAGTTGATAGTTGTCCACTAACGTTCATATTGATCCCGTTCATTTGATGGTCATTTTCTATTTGTTGGTTAGCTTTGGTCTCTTGGACATTTATCATATATCTAACTTTTAGTTACTAAATCAAAACTGGTTGCGAGCGTGTGTTTGTGTTAATTGTTTTGTTCATATTTGACCTTTCAATTAACGGAAAGCACTTCACACACAATCTATTTTTTTTTCGTCCTCATTCTTCTATATATTGCATGTGTTAAATTAAGAGTTACCGTGTATATTTTGAAGATCATTCAACGCATCAAATACTTCTGTCCAAAATTTCAACTTTTTATAAGGGCTAAGACATTGCAATCCGAAAAAATCAAGTTTTCTGAAAAGAGGAATACTTAGGCTAGTTTCGAATACTTCTATTAATTCTTCCTATCTAGATTAATTTTAAACCTTGTATGTAGTTTTCGATATTTTTTCATGTTAGACCTCCTAAACAGTGTGGTTTGGATAAAGTGTCTATTTTGTTATCTTAGATAAAGGAAAATATTTTGTCAGTAAAATGTTTAAGCTTTATACTATTTGCATTGGGTATTGATTTTTGGTTTAATTTTGATATTATATTTTTATGTTTTTATCACAATTCCAATTGGGGAGAGTATTTGTTATGTTCAAGTTTGTATAATATTTTCGATTTCTTTCATCCTGGGGTCATTGTTTAAGTTTTAATTTCATTCAGATCTACTGAGAAATGTATCCCAAGAAGTGTAAATCTGCTGGAACACCACTCCAATTCCCACTTAACACAATGCTTTCTTGGCTGAACATTTTCGTCTATGTTTTTTTTCGGGAATCTCGATATATTTATCGGGATCTGCCAAAGTTCAAATTGCCGTAAGATACCAATACGAACAGACATGCAATACTGAGTGGAAACATTTAACAGCCAGCTAAGCACCATTGTCGAAGATAGGGACTTTACTCAAATATGTAGTGCTTTTATCATGATTATAATACTGTAAAATGTTACTCTCAATAAAAATAATAAGATGTGGAATGATGAGTGCCAATGAGATAACTCTTCATCCAAGTCACAATGTGTAAAAAGAAAACAACTATAGATTAAAGTACGGCCTTGAACACATAGCATGAGCTCAAACCGAACTGCAAGCTATAAAGGGTCCTGAAATGACTAGTGTAAAAAACTTCAAACAGGAAAACAAACGGTAAAATCTATATCAAAGTTTATTATAATTTCATTCATTGGGTCGGACGTGTGCTTTATTCTCTGCACGATAATAACAACATTGACAAAACAATAAAACAAATAAATATTTCATTTTAACATTTGTTTGCTCGCAGTCACTGAAATCAAGCCCAAAATAATCAACTTGGTGATATAAAACCTGTCCGTTTTCTACTTTAGATTTGTTGTTATACCCTATAGGGTTAAATGTTCGCTACACTGAGACAGACATAGTTTAGATCCTATAAGATGAATTAATAACCTGCTTTGTCAGTTTGTTATATTAACAGATGCCTGTAAAAAGGATCACATGATTGAACTAACGGGAAATAATACATACTTATTTCATACATAATGATAAATTCACAAAGTAGTAGGTACGCAACGTTTGTATAAGCAAAATATTGATATAGCTCTTTAATACCAGCTATGAAAATATAAGAAATTCAATGCCATATTTGCATCAGATTTCCGAATTCTAAATTTGAAATTCGTATAATCCATTTGATATATAAAATATAGACCAAATGACGGCTGTGATTATCTTTAGGATTGTGACTTTAATTTTACCGGTATTGTGACGCAACTTATAAAACTGCTCAACATAGAAATGTTTGTAATATCTTCTGAAGGTAAAAAGTCACATGATCGTCTTCCGCGAAATCGTTTATTTCAACAAGTTTACTTCCGTGTAGATAACATTGAACTATAACCTGGTAATAGTGAGGTTTTTTGTTAGCTTTGTAATTAAGAAAGTATACATTGAAGAAAAATTGGAAACATTAGGTGAATGTAAAACTACAAAAGCTAAGCAACAGTCAATTCATCATGTAACAGTAACATAAACATTGAGGTAAAGAGAAGGGAAATGTTCGTGGGATGTTCAAATTCAAAGGTCAAAAACCATCGTCAAATTAATAAAGGCAAACACTACACAAAGCACAA